TGTGTGTTTTGCTTCAAATAAAAAAATTTAGTGGACAAATCCCGACCTTGCTTAATACACACAAATATTTTATTTGTGGTATATATACATATTTAAATATGTATAAAGGCGAATGCAAATGCGAGCTAACAATTACATTTGCCATTGAAAAATGTGAATGTAACAAGTGGCGATTTCATTTACAATATTGTACTGTTGGCCACAAACGAGAGCGAAATCAGTAACATACATAGGTGGGAGGGATGTGGCAACAAAAATCGAGCGAGCTAAAGGCAATGCATGAATTACATGTGCTGTACATACACACACACACACGTACAAGTGCAAATATCAGAGTTACACATTTGCATGCACTTGCCCATCTCTTCACATATTTTGGCATTAACAGCGAAATTTCGATGAAAAACGAGTCAGTAGCACCGCAAACAAGTGTATTGTATATCTGACGGATTTCGCATTTCGAAGCCAAGCAGCGTGGCATTTTCTGCAAATGTATGTCTGTAAATACATGTATGCAGTTATGTAAATATGCATCGAGCAACAATTGCGTATTTATTCGAATATTCCAATTGCAACAGCAACAACAATACTAGCGAACATTCACTGCAGATTTACGAGCTGCATTTGCTGTTTGCCATGTTTACAAACTGGTAACAGGATTTTTTGCTCCGTTTGGCAGATTTTGATTGTTTCTCACATTCATAAGTTGTTGTTCTCGTTTTTTGTTTTGTTTCTCTTCTTGCTTTTCTTGTAAAGCAAGGGCACATTTCATGGTTGTTGTTGTTGTGACCACTGGCATTTCTTCGACTTAATTATAAAAATTGCATCCGCCAGCGATTTATTTCGATTCGTACATTTATAAATCTTCATTTTATATGGAATTTCACTAAAAATATTTTACCATATGTACGCAGCAATACTATTTTAGTTAAGTTTGTTTCAATGTAATTCATCGCGAATGGAAATTATCCAGCGATATTTCGAGGTAAAAACTCTGCGGCGATACAGGTGGCGTTTATGAGCTGCTAATGAAGGTGATCTGTATTTATATCACAAGTATGTGGATACGAATATGTTTAACATTTTTAAATCCTATGGTGGATCTGCCAAAAATGACCTCTCTTGAAATTCACACTTTCCAGAATATTTCTGACATTCTCATAAAATTAAACGACCGTTCGAATGCGGCTTATGCAATATTTACAACTATTTATATGTCAGATATGAAATTTTTACATTAAATATCTTCCATAGTACCAAAAATTTGCAAAAGATCACGGAAAGAAGAATCGAACCCGAGAGACTGTATCAGTTGTTTACTAGGAATTTTTATTGATTTTTTCTTGAATGATAGCGAACAAAATAACGAACGTTGCAGCAAAGCATTAAACTGTAATATTATTATTATCACAGTAATTGTGAAAAAACCTTACTTTTTTTTTTTAAACTGGAGAGGCAAGAATAATAAAAAGAAAAGACTTGTTTCTCCCGTAATTATACCCTGAACAAGCTTTATTAGGTTTGCTACGAAGTTTGTAACACCCAAAATAATACGTCGGAGTCCCTACGAAGTATATATATAGTTGATCAGCGTGAGACCTTACAAAATACTTCAAAGGAGAATTCGTTTATTTACTCTATGAAAATTAAATCTCAATTATCATTGAAAATCGATCTTCATAGGGAGAAACAAGAAATATTTCAACTACACTTTTAAGTTTATTAACCCCACAGGTAGAGGTGGATAGAGCTTTTTAACGGATGCATCGAAGCTTAGGAAAATGTAGTAGTTGGTGTCTTTTGTCGGGAGCTCTCGAGCAACTTTAGCTTCTGGCTACCAGACTACTCTACCGTCTTACGAGCGAATGTGGATGATAGCAAGGTAAAAATGCAGCTTCTTTCCGATAGCAGAGCTGCAATACTAGATCGCTGGCTGTGCGCTCAAAACTTATTAAGGTCTGTCTCATGTCCTTATCAGCAGGGTCAAGCTTCTTTGTTTTCCGACTTTTGCGTGTCCGGTCACAGCAGAACCGCTAGAGTCTGCAAAGCCGATGTGCTTGCTACTGAAGAGCGCATTGTGACCCCAATTTCATTATAGTGGAAACGAGTTGGTACTCCGCTGCCTTGTTGTGCTCAAGCGTTGGATCTATAGGCCTCCCGTAAGCTTGGCAAGCGATGGTCAGCAAGCAGAACCAGAACTTGTGCGTGATCGTTTTGTCCCAGCATGAAAAGGAAGATGTCCTCTATACTACCATACTTGCTCTTAACAAAGTTCATCTCTATGTAATATGTCTCCTCTATAGTAGGTACTAGGACTAAACACTGTCCAATAGGGTCACATGCGTTGAGGCTACATATCTCGTCGGATACAAATTGCTAAAGGAAGGCGAGGTGAAATCATCAAGAAAATTTCTTCTATACCATCCAGCTTTTGCCAGAATGAGGTTGAAACATTTCGGTAGACACACGGGTAGGCGAACCTGGCAAAGTGGCTGGGATTGATAATAGTCGCCTTAACAAATTTGTGAGAAACTCAAAATGGTTCGTCGATCTATAAGGGTCTGATGATCCAAATCTAGTAGTTTTGAGAATAAAAAAGGCACAGCGTTCACAAATGACCAAGTGGGATGGTGCGTGCCTTTGGTGCGAGAATCAACTCTACGACCTAACCTAACCTAACTCCTCAGAAAAAAACACAAGGTTGTTTCATTTATTCCATTGCAATTAAAGCGATACATTTATAGATAGTCGTATAAAATTTGATTTGATATTCGACCTACATACACGCCATTTTTCTCACAGCCCAAGGTGTGCCAGGAATAACCAAAATCGCTTTAAGCACGAATGAAAAAAGCTCTTGCGTGTTCAAAAATGAGAAAAAGAGTAAACAAATCGAGTTTTTGTAAATGAATTTGCTTTACCTAATTGTGTTCGCAACATGTGGCACCGGAAGGCACTTGGGGCAACATTTCTATTATTGGATGCTGCGAATTCAGCCACATGTCACTGAAAGTTCCTGCATGTAGGATGCAGAGATACATATGCACTTATGTATATAAATATATGCGGGGGTGTGTGTTGGCATGTGTTGATGACAACATTGACATGGATTAGGGTGGGTAAAAAAAAAAACAAAGAGCTAACGTTTTTTTTCGCTTCGTACTCTGAAAAATTGGCTGATAGACACCTCTGAGAAAGGCTCTACAAGTATGAGCTCTGAATTGTACCTGAAAGGAAGAGTTATAAAATTCAAAAGAAAAAGCAAATAGGTAAGGTTAAGATCATTCAATTTCCTACAAAAATCCACAAAACGAAATATGTTTTAAAGTAGTTGGAAGCAAGATATAAATTGTTCTTAATGATAATAAGAATATAATAAAAAAAAAATCGTTAAGCGTATCATTAGTATCTATCAACCAATTTTTTAGAGTACGTGCGAAAGAAAAAACATGCGTTTTTTGACCGACCCTAACGTGGATGTTGTTGGCACTCAAGTCAACTCCAGTGAACGCAAAAGCGAGCCAGTGAACTGACGAAAATTGATATGTAAATTAATTCGGACATTTTACAAGCAACAAATCAGCGCACAGCAAAACGGCAAGGACAAAAACAACAACAAAAACAATGGCAAATGTGCAAATGTGTGAGGTGAAAAGGGCGAAACAGCAAAAGCGTGCGTGCACATGCAACATTAGCGCATCATCACATCAAATGCCACAACAGACAACATCACATCAACATCTTCACACAGCACACACACATACACACGGACGCATCGCCGACCAGCCCCGGTAAAGTATAGCTCAAAGCGCTGCGAGAGTTTGCCACCCGACACCGCTGCTTTAAGCTGGTATGACGCATCACTGTATGCTTGTGTGTGTGTGTGCATATGGAAATTTGCATGCATGGATGCGATTTAGCTGCGAGCTGCCAGCGTGTAAGCTGCAAATGGGCCAGTGAGCCAAAGCAGCGACGCAAAGCAGGGAGACGGGGGCGCAGCTGATCCGGACAAACGAAGTGCATTCGTGTGAATTAATATGATGCTGATGTGCGGCAGTGTCTACGTTTTGTTTTTGTTTTTGCTGTTCTTTATGTGCACTGAATTTTCATCAAGTGTATTCAAATAAATATTTGGTCGGTGAAAAATGACGAAAATAAACTCGGTTAGACAATGCGACCAACTAAATATGTGCAAAAACAAATTATGAATGTTTAGACTCATTTGCATGAATGTGCACATGTATGTACTTGACGCTAAGGCTTTAGCTTTGGTGTAAGCTGCACTTACTACCATCTCCAAGCAACTTTTTTTTATGTAGAAAGCACATTTAAAAACAGTTACTCTCTTTATTTTTATGATTTTAAATTACGCATTTTTTTGACTCAGTATATGAGTCTTCTTCCGCTTCTATGTACCGAGAGTTTCGTAATCGCCTCAGAGATTTGGTTAAAACCTAGGCACTTGTGTGACGAATTTGGTAGTCTCAATTTTACCATACTACAAATATATTTTGACTTGGCACATGTTGCATGCACAAAAGTATTTTTTCACCAAACGATTGTTTATAAGACCTAAAAGTTATACATACCGAAATGATGTGTAACAATTTTAGTTCATAACTTAACATTCGACAGTTTAAAAATTACCAAAATCGAGCTAAAGCCACGCCTACTTTACATTACCACAGATAAATCAGGTATCAATATTGATTATGGAATAAAATAAAAGCACAAATTTAGTTTAGCAAGGGTGTTTTTTTTTTTTTTTTGTAGACCAAACAGTTTGTTTGTTTACAGATTTAAAATTTATTTTGTTTCAAATTTTTCATTAAAATATTGTACTCGTCTTTTTCGTTTGTACATTGTGACCAAAAAAACATTTTTCTTTGTTAAGTTGGTAGGACTGTCCTTGATTACTATGCCAAAAATGTTTAGCAATTTTTACAATGGAAAAAAATATTGAACAAAGAATTTGCATCAAATTTTGTGTGTCCAACAAAATGTCATATGCGGAATCGTTGCGAATGTTAAAAACGGCTTATAGTGAATCTATTCTATCGAAAACTCAAGTCAAAGCTTTTAAGGATGGTCGAGAAACCGTCGAAGACATGCCTCGTTCCGGTCGTCCTTCGACGTGTACCACTGACGCTAACATCAAAAAAGTGAACGAAATCGTGCTTGAAAATCGTCACGCGAGTGTTAGAGAGATAGCACGTAAGCTAAATATCGGCTGTGCAGCAGCTTGTTTGATTTTGACCGATAATTTGGGCATTAGACGCGTCAACGCTCGGCTTGCTTAAAAAGAGCTGAATTTTCTGCAAAAAGACCATTGCGTGCAACGATTTTAAGACCAAAAACTCGTTCAATACCATCGATCAACCACCGCATTCCCCGGATTTGGCCCCATGCTCCTTTTTTTGTTTCCAAAACTCAAGTTACCACTCCGTAAAAGAAAACTCACAGAGGGCACTGAAGGCGATCCCGGACAGCGTCTACAAGGCATGTTTCGATGATTGGAAAAAGGGGTGGCATATATACAAGTATGTGTATCGGTTCAGAAGAAGCATATTTTGAAGGCGACAACATAAGTATTGATGAAGTTGCACAATTTTTCCTTTTATCTACAATTTCCGGAAGCTTTCTGGTCTCAAGATATATACAATGATTACAATCAATAAACCACACTAAATTCACAACAAAGTGAGCAAATATTTGTTGAATTCTGCTGAAAGCAATAATTGGACTATTTTTTGCCAGCGCTATTTGACGTTTACGACACCCGATCTGACATTTATTGCGACACTGCTGTTACGAGTTTAACAAAGTCAAAGCGGCGCTTTTTAATTTCTGCTGCATACACGCACTTTCTGCCCTTTCCTTCACTGCTAGAATTTTGTTGAAATTTTTAATTCGCCAGTTTTATGGCCGCGACAGCGTAAAACGAGCGCTTAAGCATGAGTTAAGTGAAAACGATTGGAAAATTAAGTAATAAAGAGTCACAATGAATTTGAAAGAAAAAAAGAATTATTTACGGCATTTAGGTACAAGTAATCAGCACATACTTTTGTGTATGTATGTTTATTTGTTTCAGTCAAGAATTTACGATTGTTTGTGCGAATGTATGCGTCGCGCATTTATTGGCTGGTTATATGAATATTGTAGCAATGAGTTGCGTTTGTTTTTTATGTCGGAATTGTCGGCGGTTATGTGGTTTTACGTTTTCTACAAGTATGTTGTAAAAACAATTGAAATTATAGCGCCTATTAATATGCCGGTAATTGTGAAAATAAAATCTGTATGAGTGTCTACAAGAACAGTGTTGCCATACTTCAAGGATAGTGTTTATTTTTTTGGAGAAGTAGAAATAAATTTTGATAAATTTAAGTTCAGTAAGCTATCACACAGTATATTGCTATTTGCATTATAATTTCTGCAATTCAACACTTTTGAATCAAAGACCATTTCTCATTTAACAAGCTTCAGTATTGGCTTCTCAACAGATCTCATATGTGGCGCATATCCGCTAAAATTAAAATGCATGTAGTGAACGGAAATGTAATTTAGGGCGCGTTTAGCTGAATAAAGTTGCCACTGTTAACAAACATCATATTAAAAACAGTATATACATATTTTATATATGTAAGGGCCACAACTAGTGTGAATTAAAAAAAAAAATCATATTTCATATCAACAAACAAAAATTTTAAATAAATATTTCGAATAATTTTTGAGTAGCAGCCTTCTAAAGTAGTCCTCAGTAAAAGTTAGATGATCTTTAAACACATTTTTCTGAAAACTGCATTTTGCAATTTGGATGCAGTTGTAGCTCGAAGACAAATCACCCTAATGCTTTGGTTTTTTTCTGCAAAATTTTGTATACATTTTGTTGTACAATGACCGGTTTTTTTAATAGAATTCGAATTTTTTTCAAAGTCTACCATTTTTTTGTTTTTAATTTTTAATGACAATACCTTACAGATTAATTACTTATTTTTATGTGATCAACCACGGTGAAGACCGCAATCACTGCAGCATTTTAGGACATTTTTTAGTAACATAGGAACTTTTTTAGGATATTTGTTTTGAAAACTTTTGTATATTATCATTAATTATGTATAAATATACACTTAAATGCAGTAGTTTTCATTTAAAAAAATTCCTAAAAGTCACCGTTTTTTAGGCGGTCACACAACGTGTGTCCCTAAATAATCATAAGAGTATCATAAGCAGGCCACAGTAATCGATACCTTGCAGGATTTTATGTTAATTAAAAATGGTAATATTACTCTTACATAACTACAATTAATGATCGCTAACGCAGCAACAATTAAATTAGTTGTTGTATATAATTAAATCCGCATAAATGATGCTTTATCTTAAGGGGGTATTTCAGTCTAGAGGCATTAATTTCGAGTAAATTTTTAAGTGTCGTAAAAAAATGGTGTCGCAAAAATCATTACAAGAATACAGAAAAAAATCAAGAAAAATAAAATAAGTTAAAAATTTCAAAAATTAGAAGCTGATCTGATGAAGTTTGGGATCTCAAAAAATTAGCATCTCCGAAATATTTTCGAAAATAATTTGAGTCTTGAAAAGTCCTCTTGTAGATATATTCTTGAATAGTTAAGCTTTGAAAATAAAAACAAAAATGATTTTTTTCTTTCTAGACTAGAATACCGCCTTAAATCATGGCAACCTATATATAAATATATAAAATCCATAATATAATATATAAAATTTCGAACAAAATAAACAGAATTTTCAAACACTTTAAAACTCCTATTATTTTGAGTAGATGGAAAACAGCTGTAATATTCTTAAGTCTACAAAAAATATTGTTCCATTTTCTTTGCAGATTTTTAAAATTTTTTTACGTGGCAACGCTGAAAGCGACGATATGGCAATTGCATATGTTTCTTCATGTTTTTACTACAACAACAACCAGTACAGAGGCTTACGTATAAACTCGCTTTGATTGCCTACTTACGGGCGCACGTTTATGGCATTTTTTGCTAAGAATAAGATATGAACGCATTTACTTAATGTGCGCTTTTAAGATTTTCTAATTGAATTAATGCTTTGCTTTCACGTTCGAGCGATTATTGCGCACATTTGCAATTGTTTATTAGTATTTCATTGCATATACGGTTGTGCTTGTTGCTGTTGTTGCATAGTTAGCACGCAATTTTCGTTTGATGGGTAATGGCTCGCAAACATTTGTGGCTATCTATCATGCCCCCCCCCCTACCACTGCCACACGACGCAGTACGAGGGTAGAATCTTGAATTGCACACAAATTTGAAGGAAAGTACTTTGTTTGTTTGTATATATGTGAGCAAGCCACCTGCCTAGGCTTGTCCAGAGTGCGTATCTAAATGCCACCGGATATGCGCATCCATTTCCGTTTGACCATTACTCATCAGCCATCAAAGGCGCACGGCGCAGGTGGGATGGACTGCTGTCCATAACTAGAGTTTATTGTTGCTGCTTTTGAACGCAGCCTCTAAGCAAACAGTCATATGCTTTCTTGCGCTTGTCGCCCATTCATTTGAACATTCAAATTTAAATAAAAAATCGCAGATAAAATACACCGCTATTGCTTACATTTTATTTCATTACTTTTTTACTTTATTACACTTACTGCGCCTGTTTATTCGTTGTTGTATTCCGCTCCACTCTTGTTTGTTTACATCAACCGCATGTGTCCTTTGCCGTGCGCGCCGCGAGCGCTAGCGATTGCAACAAATGCGGAGAGTAAAATAAGCATAAATGCATGCATTAAAGACTACTTATGTGTGTGTGTGGATATTCGTGGGTAATGTAAAATGTGGCAAGTAATTGCGCGCCCGCCTTAGGTCCAGCATGCTTGGCTGGTCGGTAGGTCAACCATGCGACAGGATGTCAGCGACTGTTTGTATTGTGCTCAACATCCCTCATTTCGTCATTTCATTCTTCTTTGATGAAGCATTGCCGCTTTAAATTCGGTTTGGGTACGGCAATAAGAAGCGCTTTTTTATTGAAATTAAATGCAATAATTTGGCCATTATCACCAGCGTTTCGCTACGCTTTCTCTTTGCGGTAATGAAGCGCAGCCATTGCTATGACCCTCTAAGGGTTATCTGTGCGACGTGGGTTTGGAAATCTATTAATGGTCGCTAGATTGTTCAGTTCTTTAGGCCTGTAAATTCATGTAATTTGCGGAAGTATTTTTTTATTTATATATGGATCTATCGGAATATATGCACATGCAAGCTTACATATAGTAATAAGTAGAAGAAAGGCTTGTATCGATTCTATGAGAGAGCTTGGGATGGAATTGAATGCATATGTTTTGTAGTTAAACGTAAACTTCTCAAAACATGTGTAGAAATTTCTTAGCTTTTGGACAATTGGAGGCATAAAAAAAGTACATAAAACCCGTATAATGAAGTAGATTGCGATAGCTGATGCTCTAGATATATCAGAGGAACGTGTTGGGTACATACATATAACGCAATTATCAGTAATTTCAATCAATTGTACAAAATGTATAAACTTGGACTTTTAATAGTTTCAATATTCATTGGTTCTTAATCTACTCAAATTTCGTTTTCTTGTAGACCTTAAGAAATGATTACTTGTAGAAATTAACAATAATGAACGAGTAAACGACGAAACTGATCTCTTTCCATTTTTAAGAAGATTCTTCACTCGCTAGTTACTTGAAGAGAAATCTAAAAGACAAATTGTAAAATCGACATTTGGAAATCAAGAGTGGTTGTATTTTGATATTACTCAATTCAAAATAATCATCCAATGAGAGAACTATTATTGAACCGACTCAAAAAGCTGGTAGATTTTATCAACTATTTTTGTTTTTATGTTAGAAGTAATCTTTGAGGTTAGAAATTCGCTGTAAAAGGATTGCAATTACAGTTTCAGAAAGCGGTTCGACCGCGAATATGATAGAGTATGCTTAAAAGCAATATTTTCGATCCTAAAACATATGTAAAGACTGCTTTGTATGTAACTTCACTTGAGGTAGCCAGATAATTGTCCCATTTACTAATTTTACACAGAGCATATTTTGAGATATTCAAAAGAATATTGACTCAGATTTAAAAAAATATATTAAATATATAAAAAATGTGGTGTTTTTTTTTATTAAACATAAAAGTACTCAAAAATTTTAGCCGAAAAAAAATGGAGAATCATATTATTTTAACTTCTAAGCTTGTTGATAGCGTAAAATAAAGGCCATTTTTGAGAATTTAAAAAAAAGTACTGCATCTATATTTTAGAAATGCACGGTCATATTTTG